CTTTTACAGCATCATGCAGGATAGCTTTAGCTCTCAAAAAAGTCCTGTATGTTCCACCAGCCAGCCCCATGATGCCTCTTCTCCCCTACAAGCCCTGAAAACTAATAATTTAGTTGCTTGTTGTTAGTGGTGTTTTTTTGTCTTGTTTTTGTGAAACTGAGTCTCATGGTGTAGCCCAGGGTGGCCTCGAACCTGAGAGGATCCTCCTGCCTCTGCCTCCAGAGCTAATGGGAACTGCTGGTTATGTCTACCGCTGGTTCCTCGGGGTTTATCTTACCTCTCACACCTCTGCCACCTTGCCAAGGTCCAAGACAGATGTGCTCTGACAGGGACGACGCTGTCCCCTGGCATGTTGCGGCAGGGGCAGCACGGCATGCAGCTTGGGGCGGCTAGGGTGGGCGATCAGAGGCCGGGGGGGCAGCAAGCGGGGTGGCCCTGCTCTGTGTCACAGGTTTGCTCACATCCTCTCTGCAGCTGCTGCTCCGCTGGCCAAAATGTAGCGAGCACCTCCTGGGTGCCAGGCCCTGTGCCAGGATGAGGAGAGGCAGGGCTCAGCCTCCACTGCCCCTGTGCCAAGCCCCAGGGCCACCCTGAGACGAGGACACCCGGAGCCACTGCTATCTCCATGCTTTACATTTTGCTTTGAGGTCAGCCAAGACTGATGGAAATGTTTAGAGATGGAAATGTTTAGAATGAAGTTTGTTAGGAGTTTTAGGAAAAATCAATGAAAAATAAAACAGGAAATAAACACTAAGGAAGTTACGCTGGGGCTGGAGGTGCAGCTCAGTAGTAGAGAATATGGTACAGTGTACAGGGCCCTGGCTTCCAACTCCAGGAGAAGGGGGAGGGGAGAGGCAGGGAAGAAGCAGGGAGAGAAAGGGGAGAGGGGAGAGGGGAGAGAGAGAGATGTCTGGCTAGTGCACAGCATGCTATACAAAGTAAAAATATATAATATTTCTTAATTAAGAAGTAAATTAGTGTTGTTGTCGCTGCTGCTCCCTTTTGCTCTTGCTATTTTCTACCGCCATGCACTGCTGCCCTCTGCCATGTGCCACTCAGCCTTGGAGCCAGCTGAGTATGGACTGAAACCTCCACTAACTGTGACCTCAATCAACTTTTCCTTCCTTCATTTTGGGTGTTGGGTATTTTGTTCCAGCAATGATCGAAGAGTAACCAAGATAAACAGTAATAAATTCCTATGTCAACAACAACAACAACAACAAAAGAAGAAGTAAATTAAAAGCTAGGTGTGGTGATGCACACCTATAATCTCAGCCCTTGGGAGGCTGAGGCAGAATGACTGCAGCAAATTCAAGGCCAGCCTGGGATACACAGTGAGTTCAAGGCAGCCTGAACTACATAGCAAGACCCTGTCTCAAAAACCAAAAATCTCTCAGCACTCAGGAGGCTGAGGCAGGAGGAATGCTATGAGTTCAAGGCCAGCCTACATTGCATAGTGAGACACTGACTCAAAAATACAAAATCCAGCCAATCAACCAACCAAACAACAACCCTCAAATCACTGGGTACCTCATTTCAAAAAGACGAAGAAGGAAAGCAAGCAAGCAGGCCACCCCATCTGTAGCAGCAGTTCAAAGACAAGCAAGGCCAGGTCATCTGGGCTCAACAGCTAGGACCTGCCACAGGCATAGCTTACGCTCAGCAAGCAGTTAACTCTCTGGACCTCGATTTTCTCACGTGTAGGATCACAGCAGTGGCTGTTCCTTAGAACATTATAGCTGTTCCTGCTACAATCAGGCATGGGGGCGCCAAGGACAGAACCCACCATGCCCATGCCAGACTCACACGTTGTCACTGTACTACATGAAGCTTTCCCCAACCCCTTTGCTTGCTGAATAAGCTAATCCATGTGGTGCGGCACCTGGCAATTATAAATACTCCCTAAATATTAACCAGGACTTCTGCTGGACTGCCTTCAGCCCCTGCGACATGCCCACCCACTCACAAGCTGACCCTTCTACCTGAAACACCTTCGTGCCTCTCATTTCGTCTTTAGTGTTGTTTTTTACTCTTATTAGTCCCAGCTTTCTAATAAAAATGTTATAAACATTTATTAATCCTTTTAAGATATTTCACAAGTAACAAATAGGAAAAAAGTATAGTCAGTGTAGGAAGATACTAGAATCTAGCGCCTGTTTGTAGTACCTAATGATTACATTCCTCTCCTCTCCCGAAGCTGGTACTTGAACAGAACACATCATAATTCCTTTTTTGTTTTGAGACAGAGTCTCGCTGTGTAGTTCAGGCTGGCCTCTACTCACTATGAAGCCCAGCCTGACTTTGAATTCATGCTGATCCTTCTGCCTCAGCCTCCCTAGTGCTGGGATTACAGGTGCACCCCACCACGCTAGGCTTATTTCACACATTTCAATTCTTTTTCACCCCCGTCCCTCCTTGCCTCCCCCTCTGTCCCTCTCCTGCTCCCCTTCCCATTTACCAATGATCTACCTCCCTGTTTCCTTTCATTTGGTTCCTTGACACTTTACTACCTTGGTTTCTCATATGAGAGAGATCGTCTCTATCTATGCTCCCGAGTCAGATTTCCTCCCAGCAGGGCACAGTTAAATATTGTGTCGTCGTCCTCCCCACCAAGAGAGGTGGCTGCTTGCGGAAGCAAGCTTTCCTAGCAACCACCCTTCCTGGAGCCGCTCTTACTCTTATCTCAGCCGGCGGCATGTTCCTCTGCCTTTCACACCAAGGCCCAGCTGTCTCTGGCACCTCCCCCCTGTCCCTCTGCCCAGCACAGGGCGGGCAGAGCACCCAGGTCACTCCTCCACCCCCAGATCCCTGTGTCTGGCCCTCAGGGCTGTGCTGTTCCTTCCCTGCCACCCTCAGCTGCCACATTGTCCTCCCTCTGCCTTGGAGCCCCTTTTCTTAACCCTAGCCTGCACGATGCCTCCTTGGAACTGCTGCCCTGGCTTGGTCTTCCCAACCTGCTCTTGGTGCCAGCTGGCTTTTGCCTGTGTGTTGTGGGCTCCTACACGGATACCATCTTTCTATAGGGACACTGTTGATTCCCAGGCTCCCATCAGGACCAAGGCAGGGGCCTCTTCTTCCATTTAATTTAAAAAAATTTTTTTCAGCCAGGGTCTCACTATGAGCTCAGGCTGGCCTCCGGCTCTCAGCAATCCTCCTGCCTCAGCCTCCCAAGGGATCACAGGCCTGTGACATGGGGCTTAGCTCTCCTTCCATTTCTGTGTCTCAGACTCTGAGGACAGCTCCTGCAGCCTCCTGTTCCACCCAAGGATAACAAACAGTACATTCCTCTGCAGGAAGGGCTGAGGCCAAGGCCTCTTGAGGGGAGGACTGGCTGCTGCCGGCACCTGGGAAGGGTCCCTAGGGCCTGAGGACCTGGGTCACCTTGAGGGGACCACAGCCCTTTCACTATTTCCCACAGGTTGAGGCTGGGGCAGGTTCTGTGATACTCGGTGAGGGGCCAGTGGCCCCCTGGAAAAGGACAGAACAGGCACCCACCGGAGCTTCTCAAGTGGAGTGGTGTGAGAGTGGCTTTGCTCCCTGTAGGGCCACCCTGAGGAAAAGGTCAAGCAAGCACTGTCATGCTAAGTGGTTTGAAGTTGAGGGCTCAGGTGTCAACGTAGGCACGGGGTCCCCTGGGGTCACTGTGGGCTGGTGACTGGAACTACAGAGCTAACGGAGTGGGGGTGGGGTGGGGGTGAGAGCCCGGGACTGGCGTGACACCCCGCTCCCCGCGCCGCCCCTAGGTCCCGCAAGGCTTCCCCTAAGTCCGAAGCAAGCCCCCCGTAGGTGACCGCCACCCACGCGTGCTGCTTGCCAGGACCTGAGGGTCTCCCACGGGACCCCGGGAGCGGGTCCGCTGCAGGGAACGCTGGTAAATGCAGGAAAACTCTGCCCACAAGGGACCGGTTTTCCAAGCAGAGAGCTTTCCTCCCACGGCACCGCAGGGATGGGCGGGGGCCACTGCTGTGAGCGGGTCAGTCCGCAACCCTGAGCCCCAGAAATGGCGGAAACCGGCGGTCACCGCCATCGTGCCAAAGTGGGGTGAAGGCGCTGCGGGACCGCGCGGCCGCCGCTTCCGGCTGCGGGAGACTCACTGACTGCAGCAGCGGGGAAAGCGGGCGGCTGCAGAGCCGGGGTCGCTGCAGGGCCGGGGCTCGCGGGCTCCTGGAAACCGGGGTCCGGGGGGCTGCAGGGTGGGGTCGCGGCGGCCGGGCGCAGTCGCTGCAGTGCAGAGCCGGCTCCGCGGCCCCGCCCGGCAG